GTATTAGCACTTTTATCAATTGCAATATTCCTTCGGGCGGACAAACAAAATCATATATAGTGCTTTTATCCCAAATAATATTTCACTTGCATCATAAACACATTTCTCAACCCACCTTTTTATATTCCCAATCACCTTTTTATCTCACATACATCACATCACAAAAAGTGCTACAGTAATTATTCCAAATAATATTTCAAATAATACACTATCCAAACAAACCCATAACTTCTTGATTTTTTTAGTAACTGTCAAGATGATGTAAATTTGGGTTAGGAATATAAATCCTTTCTGTAAATAAAAAGTTCTCGTTTTCCTTTCTATTTTTTTTCTCCTGTAAAAAGGGCAACAATAAAGTAAAGAAAAAACAAAGAAAAAAAAAGTCCTCCTACTTGGAAGAATGCAAGAGCTGCAGTAGAGCACTATTTATCAGCAGATCAGCAAGAGCAAGGGAAAACAACAATTGCATTCTATTCATCCGTACGGTTTCATTGACTCATGACTGCTCATTTCTCGTGAGGCCATCTATTTTGCTGAACCATTTTTCCCCCCGAAAAACTTATTAACTCCTCAACTCTTCTTCCTTCTCTCAGTTCTGAGTTCTGACAGGAAAAAACACCTGACCCGTGAAAGCAGTTACCTAAAACATTGTACAAACCATACTTCTTTCATCACTCAAATCACTTTCTCACACAAGCGATACAACAAAACTCTTTCATTCTTCTTTCTTCTTCATTCTACAACCACTCTCACTTGACTTTTCTGCACATTCTTTGCAACAAAAATTACTCCCCTTCTCTCAACTTTTGTCTTTTTTTCACTCTTACCCCACATTCATAAGCCTTTTCTTGAGCTCTGTTTCTTTGGTTCTAGTGATACAATCCTGTATTGTGTTTAAATGGTAAAGTTCATTTTTTTCCCCTTAAATTGGTGGATTTCTGAAATGGGCTTTGTTTAAAAGTGCATTTCCTTGTGGATTTAAAAAGTTTTAGTCTTTTTTGGCTTCAAACACTCATTACTGTCAATGGGGTGGAGTAGAGCAGTTATTGTTGTAAAAATTTGAGGAAAGTTTGAATTTTTCTCCTCTTGGACTCATGGTTTCTTGATTATTCATTTTGTTCTCTTAGTTCTTTATTTGGTTCCTGAGCGGGACTGAAGAAAGAGATATTTCTGTTGCTCCTGGCAGCCGAAAATGGAATTTTTAACTCTAGTAACTGCTATACTTTTTGGGTTGCTATTAAGTTTCCGACTCGTAACTGCTCAAGTTGTTGATGATCATGCCATTTTGCTAGAAATTGCAAAAGAGTTTAGTTTGTCTTCCTGGAATGTAAACCAGTCAGATTTCTGTTCTTGGCCTGGTGTTGGTTGCAGCTCTAACCAATCTATGGTGGAGAGGCTTGATCTTTCTCGCCATGGGTTGCAAGGTAATGTGACTCTAATTTCTGAGCTTAGAGCATTGAAATGGCTTGACCTGTCTTCTAATAATTTCCATGGATCAATCCCACAAGCATTTGGGAATTTATCGCTGCTTGAAGTTCTTGATTTATCATTTAACAAGTTTGAGAGCTCAGTTCCTGTAGAACTGGGCAGGCTCAAGAACCTTAGGTCATTGAACTTGTCAAATAATTATTTAAGCGGGGTCATACCTGATGAGCTTGAGGGGTTGGAAAAGCTGCAAGAGTTTCAGATATATACTAACAGGCTGAATGGTTCCATCCCTCGGTGGGTTGGAAATTTAACCAATTTGAGATCTTTTACTGCTTATGAGAATGGATTAAGTGGTAATATTCCAGATAATTTGGGCTCAGTTTCAGAACTTCAGCTGTTGAACCTTCACTCTAATCAGCTAGAAGGGCCCATACCTGAGAGCATTTTTGCTATGGAAAAATTGGAGGTTTTGGTTTTGACACAAAACAAGCTGACTGGCAGTATTCCTCCATCAGTTGGCAATTGCAAAGGCCTTTCTAGTATTAGAATTGGGAATAATGAGTTAATAGGTAACATTCCCAGAGAGATTGGTAATATTACTGGCCTTACATACTTTGAAGCTGATAATAATAATCTCTCTGGAGAGATAGTTTCTGAATTTGCACAATGCTCTAATCTCACTCTCCTTAATTTGGCCTCAAATGGTTTTAGTGGTATCATCCCTCCAGAATTTGGTCAACTTAGCAATTTGCAGGAGTTGATTCTCTCTGGAAATAGCCTATTTGGAGAGATTCCGATAACTGTTCTAAGTTGCAAGAATCTGAACAAGCTTGACTTAAGCAGCAACAGACTTAATGGCACTATACCACAAGAGATCTGCAGTACTTCCAGGCTGCAATACTTGCTACTGAGTCAGAATTTTGTTAGAGGGGAGATACCTCATGAGATTGGAAATTGCATTAAGCTGCTTGAATTGCAGATGGGCAGTAACTATATGACTGGAAGTATTCCTCCTGAGATCGGTCACATGAAGAACTTGCAGATTGCGTTGAATTTGAGCTTCAATCATCTTCGTGGATTGTTGCCCCAAGAGTTGGGAAGACTCGACAAGCTGGTGGCTCTGGATCTTTCAAATAATCAGCTTTCCGGGAATATTCCAGCTGCACTGAAGGGCATGCTGAGTTTGATAGAGGTTGATTTTTCAAACAATCAGCTGACTGGACCAATACCGACCTTTGTGCCATTTCAAAAAAGCCCAAATTCAAGCTTTTTTGGGAACAAAGGTCTCTGTGGCGAGCCGTTGAGTCCTTCCTGTGGAAATCCGAATGGGTCTGGTAATGTGAATTATCATCACAAGGTTTCTTACAGGATCATATTGGCTGTTATTGGTTCTGGTTTGGCTGTTTTTGCATCTGTGACCGTTGTTGTATTGCTCTATATGATGAGGGAGAGGCAAGAGGAAGCTGCCAAAGGTGGTGTAACTGCTGATGATGAAACCACTGGCAAACCAGTCATAATAGCAGGGAATGTTTTCATTGAAAACCTTAGGCAAGCCATAGATTTTGATGCAGCAGTGAAGGCGACCCTGAAAGAATCAAATAAACTTAGCATTGGCACTTTTAGCACCGTTTACAGAGCAGACATGCCATCTGGAATGATTCTGTCTGTTAAGAAGTTGAGATCAATGGACAGAACGTTGATTCATCACCAGAGCAAAATGATTAGAGAGGTTGAAAGGCTGAGTAAACTCACTCACGCCAATCTGATAAGGCCTATTGGGTTCATAATCTATGAAGACGTTGCACTTCTGCTACATCAATACTACCCGAATGGGACATTGGCAGAGTTTCTGCATGAATCTTCTAAGAAACATGAATATAAACCTGACTGGCCAACAAGACTCTCCATTGCCATTGGAGTAGCAGAAGGCTTAGCATTTTTGCATCATGTCGCAATTATTCACCTTGACATTTCTTCAGGTAATGTTCTCTTAGATTCCAATTTTAACCCGTTGGTTGGTGAAATCGAAATATCAAAGCTCTTAGACCCATCAAGAGGGACCGCAAGCATCAGTGCTGTTGCAGGTTCATTTGGATATATTCCCCCAGGTTAGTAACTCTCATATTTACTCTCTCCACTCACTGATGCTTTATGACCAAGTTATGTTCTTTCTTTCTGAAAATTTAAATCTTTCCTCTCGTTCCTTTTGACACAGAATATGCATATACCATGCAAGTTACAGCACCTGGAAATGTTTACAGCTATGGGGTAGTTTTGCTTGAGATCCTTACTACCCGATTACCAGTAGACGAAGAATTTGGTGAAGGTGTAGATTTGGTGAAGTGGGTTCAGGGAGCACCTTTAAGAGGTGAAACACCAGAGCAGATACTTGATGCAAAGCTTAGTACCGTCTCATTTGCTTGGAGAAAAGAAATGCTTGCAGCATTGAAAGTTGCTTTGCTCTGTACAGACAGTACGCCAGCGAAACGACCAAAGATGAAGAAGGTGGTTGAAATGCTTCGAGAAATAACAGAATAACTGCACAGCACAGAATTCTGTTTATTCAGAAATGGTTTTTCGTCTCTTCCCTCTAAATCAGGAATCCTCGAGTGACATTTGAAAAGACACCACGCCAAATATTATCTGCCATTTGAAATTTATCATCACTGGAGAAGGGGAGAGATTCTGTACATGTGTTGGTGTAGCTTCTGTTAATGGTAATCTACTCCTCTGTCTAGTATTGAAGGGCTGAAGAGGAACTCAGCTATGTAACCTTATCCACATCGAGGAGAAAAGTAAAAGCCTGCAGAAGAATTAGATGGAGGATAAAACCAAAAGCCTTCCTCCACTCCAATTATGGTAGTTTTGTACTCTATCATGTATCAGGTGTTCAATCACATGGATGAGATCTTTGTTCGAAGATGCTCTTCATTTCTGTCCAGAGAACTGTATCTCTGCATGGTTAGCAGTATTCAGTTATCACTCTTCCCCTCTTAAAAGAAGTCATTCTTCTGTATAATCTTGGTGATGATACCTTTCTTTAGCTTCTATCTTCTCGTTGAGAAAGAATGTAATTTGCGAATGCACTAAGACTTAAAAATGTTCTTGTTGAGATGCTACAAGTGTCAATTGCATAATTTTCCATTATAGGTGAAGTATGAAGAGGATTCTCATTGGGATGATAAAAGTGCTTTGGAGGCAATGGAGTTTTTATTACGTTCAAGAAATGATGAAAGGCTTGTCAGTTGTTACCTTTGCCTGCCAATCCTACCATCAGTCCAATATCTGTATCATCCTATTTCACACCCATACCCAACTGCAAAAAAGCCATATGCCAAACGGCCCCTTAATTTATTTTGTTCATTATTCTTCCCAATTACCATTTAATCCCTACCCATGTTCTTGCCAAAACTTTGATTTATTTACTTAATTCGAGCGTAAATTAAACTCCAAAATTAAACTATAAGCAATTACTTAAAACAAGATTTATAAGCAATTCACTACATACAAATCATAAATTCAACTCCAAAATGTTATTAGTACATGCTGATTAATGCCTTCAAATAGTACCCAAGTTTTAAAAAAATAAAAATAAATTTGAATCCGCGAAAAAAAAAGAAAGAAAGATTGTTGGAGTTTGGGTTTCGATTCTCCCTGGAAGCAAAATACACATTTCTACATCTTAAACCCTGAACCCCGCGGAAAAACATTTTGCTTCTAGTTTTCACTTAACCCTGTTGCGTTCATCCCCCGGAGTTGAAGAGTCTTCTCCTAGGGTGAATTCCTTGATCCCAGGTAAGTGGGTTACAGACTCCGTTGCCTCTGCAATTTTCTTCTCCGTATGCAAGCTTTTCTCTTCCTTCTTCTCTGTTTTTTCATCTCTAAGGAATTAGTTTTTCAGCTCTTTTTTTGTTTCCTTTTTTGGCGAGATAAATGTTAATGTCACTAGATTTGTCATTTTCATGCTTTTAACGTGTTTTCTTGAATTGCGCACTCAATGGAAGCTCAGGAACAAAGGGTCAATTGATTCTTGATCTTTGGTTATTTGCTCCGTGAATACAGGTATGATTTAGTTGGGCTTCTGGTTGCCTTCTACCTGTTTGTAAAATTGTCTGCCTGAATACCTTTCAGTTTCATAGTTATTCATACATTAGGATTTCGAGTTTCAACCATCTAATTTCGTTTGTTTATACTTGAATCAATTGATGTATGTTTCCTTTTTAATAAGATCAATTGATGTTTAATGCATTTGAAGATTTTGACGTCGTAATCTAGTTTGGTTTACGTAATTTCCTTTCTAATTGAAAAGAGATTGGTCAAGAAGGTGAACAGGAGATAATTCTTGAGAAGTCCAATGTAGTTAAGTATTAATGGAAGTTAAAAGTATGTCGAGCTTGTGATAAGTGCCTTGATAGTTGATGTTTACCTCATTTTTCCTGGATGATGGACAAATGTTGTGAGGAGCTTAAAGGGTTTGAATTGATTAGCGCTGAGTGCAAAAAGGGATTGTTGCATATTCTTGGTTCATGTTTCTAAATGCTTTATTTTTCTGTAGATCTTAAGAAGAAAGTTGGTTGAGCCAAGAGAAAGGGAACGGACAAGATGCCTCTTTATGACTGCATGCTTTTGTTGAAACCCCATGTAAAGAAGGAGGCATTGATGGACTTGGCTGCTAAAGTTGGGAAACATGTTTACAGAAGAAATGGGGTTCTTACTGGTGTCAAGTCATTTGGACAAGTTCAATTGGGTTATGGCATCAGGAAACTTGATGGGAGGTACTATCAGGTTGGTGTACTGATGTGGCACTCCACTTCACCTTCGTTTTTCTTCTTCCTTATATGATTTAAGTTCAGTTGCTTCCACTATTAAATTTTACTTGTTTGGGAGCGATCGTAAAGTTTTCATTCATGCTTTGAGTGCATGTTTGAATTTGAAGTCTGTTTGCCATTGAATTTCTTTACAGATCAGCCAACGCATAATGAATTTCTTAGCTTCGTCAGTCTTAAGAATTAGGGTTCATTTTAGGTTCAACTTTGATATCTCTGCATATCTACTCCAGCTGCTCTTTTTTTCCCCAGGAAAAAGTTTTGCCAGAAAGTAGCCATAGGATTTTGTTTACCTTGTAACATCTCCAGTTGAGGTTTCTTGTAATGCTTGTAAATTTATGAAGCAAATTAACCACAAGGAAATAGTTAGCACATGCTAAGTCATATGTCTGAAAATTGGGTGTGGAATAACCTAAGCGAGCTGTGATGCATGAACTCTTAGCTGCTGTGGAGGATTGAAAATACAAGATGGACAGCATCTTACTCTGATAGAAGGTCACAACATCCTTGTATCATTCTAGTCGACTAAATTTTTGTCATATTTATCTGATACACTCAACTTCTGGATGTATTATACTTGGTTATTTTTTATTATGTTTTCCTGACTATGCCGCCGATATTATTAGCTAGAATTCTAATTATCCTCTGAAATTTTATAAGCTGGCTTCTTTTAGTCATGCACCGAGGAATTTAATTAGTTAATGCATGGAAAAAGTACTCAATTCAAAATATAACATAGAATCTCAACTGTCTTGTATATTTCATATGTGCTTTTTTTTAAAAAAAAAAAAAAAGAGGAAATGTCAAGTGTCAATACAAACCTAAATTTGTTTTGATGGATAACTTAGTCATTTTCCCCTATTAGTTTGAAATAAGGGAGGTGGGATTGCGTACCTATTAATGGTAAAATATAGATAAAGCAAGGAGATCAAATGATATTCTGGTAGCTTTTGTTAAAATTGGAGATTGACCATTAGAAATCAAATTTAAATGCTGATTTGGCCTGTCCCTTAAAGTACAGTTGATATAGTTCTAGGAATTCTGTTTTGATTTTAAACACTATGTAATGTTTTTGGACCCTATCTGCAAGATCCAAAATTCTCTCGCTTCCTCCTTCCCCCAAAAAGAAACACAGAAAACCAGTCCCCTCCTTCTCCTGTTGGTGAAAGATAAGATCTTCATTTTAAGAGTATATTAAATTTTACAAAGGTCGATACCACCAACATGATATCAAAATAAATTCTAAATTCTGAGTGCAAGGCGCACAACTACTGGTGGAATAAAGTGAATGATCAAAGGAAAACAATCTTAGACCAAGTAATGATCCAAAATAGCTAGGTATCTATTATGGTGACTGCTAGTAGGTATCACACATTAAGAATGCGCTTAACAGCCAACATGGTTAGCTGTTTATGCCCTCTTTACTAAATGTAACTTGCTATCTGTTTCATCATGATATCTGGTAGTCTTGTTTCTACGCTTTTGAAGAGCATTATTGTGCATCTTCCATGAAGAAGTGCATTCCCTTTCTCCAAACAAATGACATACTGGTCTTGTATAGGGCCTACTGATGCAAATGACAATGATGACACCGCCCAGTTTTAATGAAGAGCTGCATTACCTTAACAAGGAAGACCGATTGCTTCGCTGGCTTCTGGTCAAACATCGTGACATGAAATATGGGCTGGACTTTCTGGGTGAAGATGATCCTAACTTAAGAAGATATGGGAGCAGTTTGTTTGACAATGAGGATGACAAGGATGACAGTGAGGATGAGGATGATGATGATGAGTATGATGCCGACCAAGGGCATGATAATGATGGGAATGATGATGATGAGGATGATGATGGTGATGATGATGATGAGGATGAGTACGAGGCGGACCAAGGAGAGAAAAAGGAAGGCTAAAATGATTATGCATCTTATTCAAAGTCGACATGGCTGTTAGCTTTTGCATTTTTTTTTTTATTATCTCAGGAGTCTTCTTTATGCTGTTCATAAGGTGTACGGGTAGCGGAAATCACATAATGCTGACGTATTAGTTCAAAATGGAGCTGCTGGTAGCAGTAACTGCTGGAAGTTGACAACTAAGCCTTTTCAATGTACAAGGAGTATATGCCTAGTGCCAAAGGAATATATGCAGTTGGTATGCATACGTACTTTTCCTGCGTTTTAATCTCTTTTGCGGGTCAATAATATGCTAGCTAACTTGTTCGCACGAATATGATTCCTGATTTTCTTGCAAAATGTCTGTTCAGGTCAAGAATGGACTAAACATCTTATAGTTTTATTCGTGGTAATCTTCAACTCAACGGTATTTGAACACATAAGACGTGACAATAAAGATGTCATTCGGATGAGAAGTTGAGATAAACAGTAAGATCTTAGCTTAATAACGTCATTACTGCAAGAGACGGAAAATGATAGGACTTCAAACCGAATCACAGAGAGACACTAGAATTTGCTTCTCTCAATGGTCCATTCCTTTGGATAGAACTTCAACTTCTTTCCGTCGAACAAAAGCTAACGAATGGCTCAACCAACTCCACATCTAACATTTCATGTCATCACTCGAAAAAAAAAAAAAGATGACAGGTTGGCCCGTGATTGAATCGAGGAACTCAATTTCCCCTTCTGCATTAGGCATTTCTGTTCTAATGCATGCAAATGCTATACTGATTGACTCCAGCAAGTATGCATGAAACTGACACCATAACCCATATACACTACAACCTCACCCAGCCCTGGCCACCGGATGTGTTCATAAACAACTGTTCCTTGACATAGGTGAAAGAAATGCTACAATCAGACTTCAAAAGGGTACTTGTAATGGCTGTTTAAAAGAGAAATGCCTCAAGCAACCAGGGCTGAAGAAACATAAAACATCAGTCCCCAAACACCATGCAATCCAAGTTCTTCCACCCCCACCCCAAAAAAAAAAAAAAAACCAAAGGAACTTCAATTCTTCCTTTCAAAAGTAGACTTCCATATATCTTATGCATAATATGCACCTAAATGACAAAATGCTATATCTAGCAAGGAAAACCCTATAGAAAGAATTCATAAGCCATCAAGCAAATTACACATAGATTAGAAAAGACAACAGATGAATCAAGAGGCTTGTGTGAAAATTATATCCAACACTTCACGCTTTTGGACTGAAATTATTAATAATGTCTAATTGCAGAATGACCACATGCTGAAAAGCGATGGCAGAAAGAAAGCCCTAAGGCTGAAATAGGAAAAGAGAGACTGTTTCTGCATTTACATCCATGCTAACCATTACTTCAGAGTAAAAATTGTAATCTTCCATAAAGATGATATTAGAAACAAAAAGGCCATTGGGTGGAGCTTCACTGGTCAATACGGTTCTTCACAATAAAGTTTTGGCGGCTGATGGGGTTCATGACCACTGGAGGACCAGCAGTGCGAGGCCATGCCTGAAACTTCTTGTCAGTCTCTTCCCACCACTCCTTGTTTTCAACAGTTGGTGGAGTCTTACCTAATTGAAAATGACAGAAATGATATAAAAAACAGAGGCGAATCAAAGCCAAAGTAAGGATAAAATGCCTATAAACTTACCTCCAAAAATCTTTTTATCGGCAATTAAATGATCACAAACATATGCAATTGCAAATGATCCCACCAAACCAGAAAGTATGTACTTAGCAGACATCTTCAAAAATCAACAACTGACACGATAAACCAAACTCCCAGTTAGGTGCAATAATCCAGGACCTTAAAATCCAGTTCCATCCAGTAAACGTCTTTACTAAAAAGCATTCAAAGAAGCATAACACAAGAAAGAAAGGAAAAAGAGCGGACATGTATTACAAAATAATTACATGAATAAATGATAATTTTGATAACAGAACTGATCAAGAAACAAAAAGAAAGGATAATGAATCAACAAAAACATTAATAAAGATATAATTGTCACTTTCATGGCCAATGATGTAATCAGAAGGTCCAGAAAATCAAGTAAATTGTTACATGTGATGACTGCAAATGTTCCAGTAGATATGACAGCACCGTGATTGCATTACGTAGATCTTTAGATTCCACAAAGTCTACAAGTATGCAGGTCTAGCAAAATGCAACTCGATATAACACCCAATGCCAAAACATTTTTACAATATCAATTCAATCATTTCCTGTTTTCATATCTTTCGACTGGCCTTAATTTCTAACTAAGAAGCCATTGCAGAAAGTTTATCACCATTACAATGGTCATAATAACCAGAGTTCTCTTAGGCGTGAACATGAATGACTGCTAAAAGAGGCACAGAACCCACATTAATAACATCTCAAATTAAAATACAGTCAAACTTACATAGAATTGTTCGAAGATCAAGTGCAGAAGTATTTGAGCAGCAGAAATAAGATAACAGTTAAGCATAAGCTAGGAGTGGCCAAATTTATAGTGTTAAGGTCAGTGTGTAGGACAGGGGCCAAGAAAGGGACTCTAACAGAACCATTTGAACTCTATTATGGGGTTAAAGAAAATTTCAGCACTTCTACTTTTCCTAAGGAGGCAGGGATGACTTCCCCTGCACAAAATAGCCGTAGCTTGCTTCGCATATACCAATCCTCCCTCCGTCCTTTTAATCCCAGCACATGTATACTCATTTTACATTTGGCTTGGGGGATAAAACACATATTATGATGATCTTGTACCCAAATCATGCAAAATAGACCGATGAAATTGAATGGGACAGCACGTTCCATACCCAAACGAACAAGAATTTCCACCCACCAAAAAACCCAAAGACAGCGCGTACAAAAATGCTATCTTTCAACATCCTCATCCCTTAAATAATCCACCGGGACGAGCCACAAGGATACATAAAGATCAGTTACAGAAAAGGTAAAAGGCCCATGAAAGCTAAAGTAAGTCTCTTGATGAAAAAATCAGCACCCCGGTAAACTATGAAACCTAAAGCAGTAATCCCCAACGCCAAGCCAAAAACAATAATTCCAGTATTCCCCAATAATGTCTATTGAAAGACCAATTCTTTTAAACTTTACCAGATTCACAACTAACCCTCTCCCAAGTAGAAATAGATAAATCCCCAAAAACACCAAGAAAATCAAAACTAAAAGAAATCAATACGTTTCTGCTATAGCCCTAACCACTTGAACAGATCTTGATACCACATACAGGAAAAAGGGCAATATTTGAATCGTAGGCCGCAAATACTTCAGGAAATGAAGACCCTAATCGCTCAAAATTAAAGACATATCATAAAAGCCATAACCAGATTCAACCATTTATGGATAAATGTGTGTGTGTGTAACAGAAACTTACTGCTATGAATTCTGGGACGAAACTGAGGGAGAGGGAGAGAAAAGGGCGAGCTGTTGAATGATACTAATACAAGATTTCTGCGTAGAAGGTGTGAAACTTGTTGGGTCGATTACAGTGAAACTGCGCCGTTTCGGCGCCTAAAGATGCTTTGCTTTTATCATTAAAAAAAAAAGGGCCAGGGGCTTCTGAGAATTGTGAAACGAGGAGTTTTTTACTTGGACCCAAATTGGGCTTCTAAAAGGTTTAGGTCTACTACTGTATTTAAGATTTGTAGAAATCCAATACTTAGGGGCAAATTCCTTAGAATTTATTTGGAAAAAAAATCAGTCAAATATTGATGTTTAGAGTTGGTGTCTCTATCTATGACATGGCACAACGGGCCAACAAATTTTTTAAAAATCCCTAATGGGTTTAGGCCAAAACGATCCAAAACTAATTTTTTTTGAAAAGTAATGACGCGACGGCCCAAAAAAAAACAATCTAATTATATTGCACAAAATAGTACATTTGATGATTTCAATTTTTTCAACATCTACTACAGAAAAGGAAAAGGACAAGCCAAGATACATTGCAATAGCGACCAAGATGGCTTTGTTGGACCATGAAAAAATATAAAATATTCACGTTTAAGAGAATCACTTAAATGAGAAGTTAGTTAAAGATTAGGCGACGGGTCAGAAAGATATATAAAAAAAAAAAAAATTGGAGTGACGGAAAATGTTTTGGAAAAAAGTGTAGGGTGGGTTAAGTTTTGTTAACGTTTTGGGTTTTTATTAAGTTTCAAGGTTTAGGATTTATGGTTTATTATTAAAGGGTTTATGGTTTAGGGTTTGTTAAATTTGTTAACAAAGGGTTTGGGTAGTGTGGCCATTTAGTTAATAAAGGGTTTGTTAAATTTGTTAATATAGTTATCTATAAGTTACAGATTAACCGTAATCGTATCAAATATAAAAAATTACTACATGAATTGCGGTTTTTGTGTTGAAGAATTTATATAAAATGCAATTGTATAAAAAAATTAATAATGTATTCACAAAAACTAATAATTGTTTCTAAAACGCACACGCATTGGGTCCAGTTGAAATAAAGGATTCTTAAATTTAGGATAATTTTATTTTGTACAATGTTTTATGTGCATTGGCCAAGTTAGAGTCTTTTTTTTTTTTTTTGAGTCTAAACATGAAAAAAGAATGTAAAATACATTTCTCCAAATTAGAACTTGCTCACCAATAATTTTCAGCTGCAGCAATCCAGCAACTAGATGGAAGTTGGAGTTGGGAATTGCATCATTCATGCATTTCATCTAACTGGTATGGTTAAGCTACATTTGACAATTAAGATGACAAATTCGATTCATTATAGTCATGCACTTTTGTGATTTCATTTGAACCTACCGAAATAAAGAATGAAATAAGATGTACCTACTGCTACTAGTGGAAAGTAGAAACCTCCACATCTTACTTGTTAGGGAGTCAATGAATCTTTACCATGCAAGCATTGTACTGTTTAGCATTGAAGCCAATCTTGATCCCACAAGTTTTGCACATAGTGAAAGATGCAGCAAGAGGTAGGTTAACAAATGTGGTTCGTCTAATAAACATATTTTTTTTTTCAAGATTGATGGTAATTACAAAATGGCCATCTAGCGACCAACTGAGGAAGGAGGAGAGTAGCCCCTTTCCTCTACAATCCGAAGGTCCAAAGATCAACCTCAAGTTGAAATTGCTTTTATACATAGCATACCAGTGACTGAACTAGTATGGTCATTCCTCAAATGTTGCCGCATTTCTTTATCACGGAAGACAAAATCTGGACGTTGGCTCCTCCATGCCTTGCACAAGAACTATACATGTCTCGAACCACACGAGAGAAAAAGAACAAAAGAATGAATTTACCGGGACAAGAAACAAGCTC